CAGTAGTCGCTGTGGCGACATTTCTTCTCGCTATCATTGTTGTTCATTTCAAAAATGTTCTGCATTGCCTACAGCAAACTAAAAAAAAATCGCATAATGACTAACATGTATTCGTCACTGAACCCTGGGATAGCGACCTGCAGCTCGGGAATCACAAATATCTGAGAATGTAATGGGATTCATATCTTAGTAGAGTGAGAAAGAAAAAGAAACTATTGCGTGTGAGTGTGGTCGCTTTGACCCGCGTTCTTCATTTTTATATTTATTTGGTAATAATGAGGTAGCGTGATGGAGCTGTTCATGAGAGTTCACTGCATCCTCTACAAACCCTTCTCTAAAATTAAGATAGTGGCAGAAACTTGAGGTATTCTCTATCCTGATTGTTCACGTAATGCCTCTGACAGAGGTACACAATTTTCGCAATGGCATATTCAACGGAATTGAAGGCTGACAGGAATGCCGCGGTAGGCGTCGACTCAAGTACATGAAATATTGCGGGGTGGGAATATCCTTGGGGAAGACACTATTTTCAATTTGGTACGCTCAGCGTCAAACTGACGATAAGGGAGGGAGGGGTCCAGCCATTGACTCTAAGAGATTATCTAATTGCACTTAATTCAAAATAAGTGAGAAGATGCACAAAAAACGCCAGTGATCAGTGGCAGATAGTCTATGGCTTGTTGCAAGCTTCCCTCAAAACTTTCCATCCTCAAAAAGTCCTTAGAATGGATCAATGTACTGGCTTTGTGGCTGCTCTCATCGCCTATTATGGCTTTTGGCATCGCACTTTAAATCACCTAAATCACCACAATTTCGGCCGTTTTTTTCTCTTAGAGCTTTTTCAAAGCTGTATGGCGTTGTCAGAAAATGTTTCTGAGCCACCCTGGAATCGAAACAAGGGCTGACGCTAAGAAGGGGGAAGGGAAGGTGGGTGGGGGGCTGAGCTTAGCCCCACATTGAGAGTAAGCGTACCGAATTCAAAATAATGTCTTCCCTTACCAGAAGATCGGTGTATACAGCCCACATGCAGTGCAGTTTCTGTGGCCCTTGTCTTTTGACACCACGTTCTAATTTACGTTTCTGGTCGTCAGTTTGGGAACCATTCGCGAATTTACAATCGCAGATGGAACCACATGATTCCCGCTACTGAAAGCACTAGTTAACTTGCCCAGTTGTGGATAACGAGTACCATCGCTTATACCCAGACATAAGGTGGCAGAGTCTCTCCACTGGAGGCACCAGTAGAAAACAGCCTGTTTGCGATGCCAACTGCGATGCCATTTTGATCCAAATTGATGCCATCACAGCCCCTGTTATGCCATCGCACTCACTGTGACGGCATCAATTTGTGTCAAAATGGCATCGCAGCTGACATCGCAAACAGGCTGTTTTCTACCAGTGAGAGGCCACTGCATACACAGTCTAAGCCGGCACACCCGCATGCGATTCTCGGGATCTATTCCACCATAAAGTTCGTTTTCTTTTGTACTAATCTCTTTTGTGATAATGAGGGGATTGAAGAGGGTGGTTTGGTAGACCGGGGGGGTGGCGGTGGGTGTGGGTGTGGGGGTTTGGGGATTAGGAAGCGGCGATAGGGATGGATACGCGAAACGAAATTAGCTGAGCTGGATTGTGGAAATTCATAATACGTGTTTACCACAGCCAACACATGCGAAGAATCCTTCATACGATGAATGGTTTCTTGGGATAACTTTAGTCCAGACTGCCAATCATGACATCAGACAGATTGACATTTTGAGACTCTCGAATGGTGTGCGCTCATTTGGGACGCTGAGAGGCGCAATTAAAAGCACCAAAGCGTACACCAGCAAAAAAAAGGACCAAACAACATGTCCTGGGAACACATATGTATGCATTTCATCAGTGTACTGCACGCAAAAACCACGAAAATAACACAAAACCGCAAACTTTGTACACATTTCGGCACGTGCTGTTTGGCCCTTTTTCCCTACTGGTAGCAAGTGAGCGCCTGCTTGAGACTAGGATGAAACGCGTGTCAAATGCCCTTGCTTGTGGTTAGGTAATGTGTAACTTTTCGTCGCATGGGTTGGCTGCCTCCTTGCTCGACGCTCGGAGTCTCATGTGCAGCATCATGTGCATCCCTCTTCTTCAGCTAATCATTATCAGAGCATGGGAAAATCAATTCCGCGGGGCTGCGCTCCACGAGTATTTCAACGTCGAAAATTCCTTACGCCGCCGTTTTGCTGCAAGGCTTGCTCTCATCTGCTTCAACAGTTGCGATATTTGGCCTGGATGGGCGGCGGGTGCCAGCGTGGATGCCGCTCAGACCCCGTAAATTTGCGTCCAGAATATTGGCGGTGTTTTTGCAGTGGTATTGGGTGCCAAGGCTAGCGTTATATTTGCGGCCAGGGGATTGTTTATGCGCCCACATGTGAAAGGCATTCACAGAAGCTGCATTCACTGTGAGGAAGCATAGTGGAGTTTGCCACAGCAGAGGCGTCCAGCTGCCAGAGTTTTCAGAGATAATTATGCTATCGAACATTCGAAAGGATGATGTAGGTGCATTTCTGAAGCCGAAAGCGTTACCGAAAGCCGAAATTGCCGAATTTTCGTGCGCCATTGCTTTGCCCAAGTTATGAGCTGCATATTCGTATTTCGTATCCACACAGTTTTCTCATGAGCCTTGTGTCGCTAGAGTATCAATTATTCTGGCCACAATGAATTAAAATTACATTGGAACACATTTCAAAGTATATACAACCCCCGAAAACGAGCGCCAATGAGGATCCCAGCGTTCTTCGACTTATCCTCTGATTGAGATGGTGGTACAAAATCACAGATAAGCGAAAAAGGGCAGCGAATTCTGCCTTAGGAAACCTCAGCGCTTCGCTAGCTCCACTTGAGCAATAGTACACAGAAAACTTCCATCTTGGCATTTGGCTCAAGGCGAACCCACCTTCCGCTTCACGCTCAATACAGCGGTTTTATTCCCAAATATTGTGATGCGCTCGAGGCGTGTGCTCTGAATCGGTGCAGAATTTGTGAATTCAGACATTCCGGTTTGCCGAAAGTTCCGAACTCTAAATACCGAACCGCCTGAGTCACTGATTGCCAGATCACTAATTTCTGCAATCCCTACTCTCCATCATCCTTTTAATCAAAATTACCCATCTTCCCATGTTTGAACCTCCCCTTCCGTGGGCTTGCGGATTGTGATCTGGGGAGCAACGATGATCTGATTTCCTGACAAAACTTTCTTTCAACATTTCTAAAACCCGACTTCCGATGTTCGAATACACACTTCTCATTCGCCCAACTTCCTATTGCATGTTTCATGGATTTCCCGATTATTCGACGCCCTTGTCCTACCAGATATTGGTGCGGCAAAGGCCAGCATTTTGACTGGATTTTCGGCAACACTCCTACTCAAGAGTCCTTCGGCGGCTGTTCGGGCCTCCGGGGACCACCACAGTGCTCCATGTGAGCCCACAGGATGTCATTCTCTCGCTCCAACTCGGCATTTCGCACCTCCATCTCGTGCACCTGCAGCGCGCACAGAGTATTTCAAAATGGTTACAAGGTTGGACCGCCACGCGCGTTGCGCATGTGGCGTCCTCTGATTAACCCGTTTCAAAATGGCTATGAATCGTGCGCTGTCCACCAGCGAAAACTGACATAAAGCCCCCAGGAAAGTGCTCAAACACTGAAAATGTGGAATTTTCCGCTGTATCTGCCATGAACTAAGAGCAGCACGTCGCTGGTGCACGAGAGCGCCACGGGGCGACCAAGGTTTTTGCGATTTGGTCCCGTTCAACCGCATGTGCGCCTCTAGCATATGAGTTGCGCCGATTTGGCAATTGGACACGGGTTAACTACAGGGCTTTTGGGAGTCGTCCGCCGACACAGCTGCAAAAGTTTCTGCGCCGATTAGCTGGGCTGTCGTGCTGCGCCTGCCTCCAGTGCACCCAACTCTGAAGTTGGTCTCGGGCCCTGCGACTTTCACCGCAGCATGGGACCGCCAAGCGCCCTCCCTGCCCATTCAGTTTGCCACGACTCGCGGGCTCCAATGCGCTTGACCGCTGCAGCGCGCCCGCGATTACGCCTGCTCGCGCAACACAACCGTCGGGCCGACCTGGATTGGCAAATGAGCAGCGCCCGCTGAGGCCGGCAGCCAAGCATGGTCGTCGGTTCTCCGACGTTCGCAAAAGTTTCAGACGGCAATCCATGTCAGGTCGCATCTGCTTCTGCCTCGAGTTCTTACACCATGCCGGGGAGCATTGTTCGCCGCTAAGTCAATTTTCAAAGACGGTCTGTTCTCCTTTGCGCACTGCTAATCGCTCCACCTGCCCATAACCAATGTCGGAGCAGGAAATGACAGGCTGCCGATCACAAAGGCCGTTGCTGATAGCCTTCGACCATAGCCGAGCGCTAACTAGTGTGGCCCTCCACGCGCTGTTCTCCGGACCACTAGCGTAGAGCGGTGCGCCTTTTTCGCCCTGTCGTAAGGACTTGCGGCCAGAGACGGTAACCCACAAAACAAGCGCCCTGTCTGACGCGACCGCAGTCGCGAGCATCAAATATGCCCACCACCAGGTCCCATGGACTTTTGCGCCCGGCGACTGCAACCCGCCCAACCCGCCATGTCTTGCATTGATCCCTCGCCCCCGCCGAGGCACGTCCACCCAATGCGCATGGCTGCTGCTGCACACCACGAACGCTGTTCCGGCCTCTGCGGACGTTGTTTTGGCGCCAGTAAGATTATCCAATCTCTCCCTCCCTCAACAAATGACCGGAATGAGCACTGCAATAATGATGACAAATCTTAAATCAGGATCGCGTACTGCCTGACACCATCCCTGCCGGGCAGCCAGGCACCGCACGTGGGATTCCTCGACGCCCCCATCCGAATCTGCTTCCCAGGTCCGAGGCCCCTGTCCGTCTCCGGGCCGGCCCCCGCTTCGCATGCTCACGATGCCCACTGCAGAGCAGGGTTAGCCCCATGCCCCCCCGGTTCCCACCTGCTGCCTCAGCTCGCGAGCGCTGACCTCCAGCTCCTCGATTTTCTTCCTCTGCTTCTGCCGAAAGCTGCGCTGCTGCCGTCTGTTCTTGGCGCGCCTCAGCTCCGCCGCGCTGGGCTCGCTGGACGGCCGCTCCTCGCTGGTGCTGTGGTCCATCGACCACTCGGCCCTGCTGCACCCCCATGACACCTGCATCAACGCTCGAGGCCAGGGGACCGGACCGCACGAGGCGAAGCAGCCCGCCCGCCGCGCAGCCCGCTTCCCTCCCTTCTGTCAGAAAACCCAGCATGCGTCGCTCGGACCCCTTAGGTGCCGTTGCGGCACCGATCCGACGTCAAGCAACCCACCGCCGGCGGTCAATGCCTCTGAGCAGCCGCACTCTTCCCCCCCTCTGCTTCCCCAACTCTTGTCGCAGTCGCTCGGCACGCTTTGCGCAGTTCCCTTAGGGGGCCGCGTCGACAGCGATCCAGTGCCAGAAATCGCCCCGCATGCGCTCAATCCCTCTCGGCAGCAGCACCGACGCCATCCGCGCGCACGCGAACGACGACGACTCACTCGTGCTCGGCGCCCCTGGCCGGCTCCAGCACGGGCGCCGATGGGCCCCCTTCATGGCTGCCGCCCGCCATGGGCGGGCGCTCGTCGCCGATCGGTACCCATGCGCGGCGAAGGCCCAGCGGCGGCCGCGAAAGGGCGTGGATCAATCGACTGGGGTTTCCGAACGGCGCGCCCTCCTTGGCGCGGCGCTTTGCGCTCATGGCTGCCGTCACTCGCGGCGCAAAGGGCTGCAAGCTGGGAGGCGAAGGGGCTTGAGAGTTTGTCCACGCGCCGCCCAACGGGCTGAGTATAAGTATGTCGTGGCTGCATGGGCGGCCCGCATCACCAAATGCGCGCCTGATGGACGATCGTCGCGACCTTGGTGCGTAGCTGCGGGCCGCCGTGTCTCGTCTAATGGGCTGTACGGGTCGGACAGACGAGGCAGGGGCTCATGCCATGCTTCCGTGTGGAGCTGCCTTACGCAGGTGACAGCCTCGATGGCCCACTGTACGATGCCATTTGTGGTCACCCACACCGCAGGGGAAACTTTGCCGCAGACTCGCAGATCTCCTAGTCAACCAGCGTGCCTGGATTGGGGTAAGGGGCTCCATCCAGGCGGCGTGCGGGGCACCTGGACCGATGAAAGCCGGGCTCCCTGACTGACGTTCCAGAAGAATCCCACGGAACAGGACCCGCTGGTTACAGAACGCTAATACGACCATTGACTGGCAGTTGAGCGAGCGGGTGTTGCTGAGTGTTGCGGCGCAGGGTGGGCATCACAGAGTCAGCGCCGTAGATGAAGGAACTGCGGGGCCGTGCGGAGGGTGGGCGGCCCGTGCCCGATGTGGGGCATCCCGGCACCAGTAAGTGATACAAGATGGGAACAGGAACGTCGGCACGAAAAAGGGGCGAACATTGGCCCAATGCATTGGGAAAAGGTCCATCCCCTCTCGGTGCGAACTTCGCAACGAAGCTTCCTCATGTGAGACAATTTCTTCCCGAACATCGCATTTTGATCTTCCAATGACATTCGACTCCCAAGAAAAGTCCTACACCTGCGATTCGCGGCCAACACTCAGGCGCCATGTGCATTGGGCGCCGCCGCACGTCTGTTGGCCCGTGACAAACAGTCCTTGGAAGCGTCGCAACGTGGATGGTCACCGTCGCAACGTGGATGGTCACCTTGGCCACCACAGGTCGCAATGCGGATGGTCCCTCGTTTGAACTGCGCCTACTTCGCGTTGCTTTTCATTTACGTCACTGAGGTAAGATCTGTGGCGACTCTGGCACCTCTAGCATTGAATCGACGCTGGGATGAGGCCATCGTCATTAAGAACAGAAGAAAGCTCCACTTCCGTGCTGCCAACTGCAATGCGGCATTGACACTGGATGGAGACATCGCAGTGACTGAGACGGCATAAAAGTGGCTGGGATGGCATCCATTAGTGCGGAATGGCATCCCAACAGGGATCCCCAAATGTCATTTCCCACTGGCGTAATCAGACCCTTGCTACGGCATGTGACATCGCGGTGAGGTTGCTGCTCCGATGATAACAAATTGGTTGATATCCATGAGGCCCAAGATAGCAATGTACCACGATAATCGTTCTAGTCAGCATCTGGCCATTCAAGATTTGGGGCCTCGAAATTGGGCGCCGTTTTCGATGATTCCTATCCCTCGTACTGCGGAAGTAGCGCTTCCTATTTCTTTTAGACCAGCCATGGGAGCTGCTGTGCAAACTCAAAAGTTGAACCAGTATCAGCGGTGAACGATCTGCAGTCCATGGGGACGTGTATTGAACGCCCTTAGAAATGATGCAAACGGCTTCCTAAGTCATTCGCATGGCCAGGAGCTGTGGGCTGCATGTGGAATGAATCACCTTTATTTAAATATGCCTTCGAAAGACAAGGCGGTCCCGCGACAACCCCGGGGTTGTTGCACCATGCTGACAATGACGGGCACGTGTGCATCCAAAAACGTCGTCCTTAAAGAGCGGATGAGGGAAGTTTCCCTCATTCTTCAATTTATCACCTCAACGGTGGCGACTGTGCTGGTAGCGACTCGCCTCACGTTTGCAAAGCAGGCAGAAAAATGGTGCTCACAGGCAAAGAAAGCGGTCTGAATCCAATAGTTCTGTGTACATGAATGGAAATTTTGTTTCGTCCAGCAGACATATGATGCACATCGTGTAATCTTACAGCCGTTCGATTGATTCCGTACAATTGTTTTGACGATGCGCGAGATTTTTGATCGGCAGGGCAGCACGCGATTCTATAATGCATTTCTAAAGCCCCTTCTCTGTGCAGGTGGCCCTCCACAGGACCGCAACCCAGTTCTGCCTGAATGTGGAATGGACGGGGCAAGGGTGCAGTCATTGCACTGCAATGAAACAAGCCCTTTGGGTGCAGGTAAATTACATTAGAACGTCTTTAGTTGCGCTTCACTGGTTCCGCTCAAATATCGTGTTCCGCTTATCTGTGTAAAAGCGTGGCTTTTTTTCAGCGCTAGCGCTAGTCTCTTTTCGGCGAAAGCGCTTTCGCCGAAAAGAGACTAGCGTAATTCGGGTTTGGAAATCGCGATACATAATTACTTATATCCGCATTGCTACACATACTAACGTAGAACTTAAGACCGCTTTGAAAGCGCATTAGGCTGGAGCATACTGTGCACATTTTGAGGTGAAATTCGCTCATTTAATTTCTATGTATCTTGCGAATCAATATCCGCGATCTGCGACACGCATCCCAACGACTTGGGTTCCCAGGGCGAGAGGTGGATCCAGCCAAGAGCGAGCTGTTGTGGCGGCATTCCGCAACGCGGCGGCGGTGGACTTGGGGGGCATCGCAGCCCATATGGGTACTTTATGTATTGCGGTATTGTTCTGACGGGCGGCGCTGAGCATGGGAGTTGCTATCTGTGGTCGGCATCAGGGGATCTTGTGTCAATGTGTGCGGTGGGAACATGCCAGACGATGCAAGGGAGGATATGTCAGGCTGTTAAGGGCTACGTCGTTAGAGGGAGCCTCGCGGCGAAGCCCCAGACACTAGCAAAAAGAGGACCAAATAGCACGTTTTGCGGACACATATGTATGCATTCCATCAGTGCTATGCACGCTAAAACACGAAAATAACGCAAACCAGTAAATTTTCCACACGTTTGAACACGTGTCATTTGGCGCTTTCTTTCCTACTGAGAGATGGGAAGCAGCTTCAGTCCGTAGGCCAAAAGAAGCCGCGGTCGATCTATCAGTTCGAATTGATGGTGCATGAATTCAGGTTAAGCGGAGGGCTGCCGCTCTCGAGGCATGCACGGAAGAGGGCTCTTGGGACGCCGCGAATGAGAGTTCTTGTTGATGACGTTGTCATTGTTGCAGAGGCGTGGGTGGTACAGGGTGGTCGGGCACGGGAACCGACTGTATTGAATTTACATCCCGACATCCTTCAGCAAAAGTGGTACAACACAGTACTATAAGTGCTAAATCCTGCCCCACCTCTTCCGAAATCGGTGCACCGACAGTCAGTGATATGATCCGTGATTTATTCACGCTAAAAGATGTGCAAGAGGAATGAAATTGGCATACTGATGTTCTGGAGCGGACGGATAATGAAAATCCTATTCTATCGACATAGAAGCTATAGACAAAGGCGACATGGATTGGTCGGACATTTGAGCTGGCTCGTTGAATTTAAATGTCGTGAGGTTGCAGTTGGAGAAAATTGACCCATTCTTACGTGTTTCTAGGAAGCAAAATGTAATACGCAGTAGTGCTGTGATTTTTAGCTGTATATGTATTTTCAAGACACAAATTAAATGTACTCCCTGTCAATGAATTCATCATTTTCACCACGTTATCATGCAGGTGTACGTCAGCGTCGAGAAAATGATTTACCCAAGTTTTATTTAGAGTGTGGAATTTCCACATGATCCAGCGTTAGAAAAGGCATGAAGGTAGGGTACAAGTCGCGTCTGCGCATTTGCATGAAGGTTTCTTGAACACGAATCTGGAGTTTTCTGCAACACCGGTGTCAGACCAGCAGGGATGCTAAACAACTCTGGGGTTGGAATAGTATCTCTCAGATATCATGATACACTGATCCAATTTTTGGGCGGTAGCCGAGGTGTTGGTAAACACTTCCTTATATTATTTTCAAATTTTGTGCTATTTTGGCAGCCATTAATTGTTCGTGACCATCAATGGTGATGAGAATATTCTCATCACCGAATAATATTCGCCAGATGCGGCAAATTTCCAGTGAACTGTAGATGCACTTTGCAGAGAAAAAGGCCCAAATGCTGCCGAAGTAAGGGAGAGCGGGGTTCGGGAGGGTGGAAGAGCGATGTGTATATCGGAGCCTTCGACAGCGTCGGCAGTGGGATGATGCTAAGGGCCCTGGCTTCCCACGATGCACACCACTGCGGCACAGGCAGAATGTTGGGAATCTTGGAACGGAACAAGGGTGGAATTATTCTCATCACATCAACTGACAATAAATTCAATTACACAGAACAATATGCACACCCCGGTCGGTAGACAAACAACCAGGATTTTGTGGTTCTTTAATTCACCCTTTGTTTCCATGAGCACCACCGAAATTCGCAGCCCCGTTCGTGGACGCAACGGGAGCTGTCTGAAT